ATATATATATATATATATGGGTTTGGTAACATAAATAAGTAAGATATTTTTTTAGTTGGTACATTTTAGTAAAGTGTATCGGGTTTTAGTAGACAAAAATACTCTCATATGGATTCTAAGTTTTAAGGTAAAGGATATTTGAATAATTTTCATTTCCAAAATTAAAAAAAACAAGAAACTCCAAAACCCTTATCATCTTTCTCTCATCCCTCATACCTCTCCACCATTTCTCTTTCATCTCTCACACTTCAACATTCTCTCTATCATTCCTACAATAGCTCCAACTAAAAAAAATCAGAAACAGTCACCTAATCTTAATTCACTTTCTCCACTTATCCAATTTGTCTTTGTTTTCCACTTTAATAACAAAATAATTGATGATTTGATGTTGATTTTTGATTGGAGGGCTTTTCCCTTCTGATTGTTATTAAATTTGTTAAAAACTAAAGTTTACAATAATTTCAAAACCAAAAAAAAAAGAAATCTCTCATGAAAAGACGATAGCATCAACCCATAATAGTTGCAAAGAATTTAGTTTTTAAATACCAATTTTGATAAAATCATAGAAATGAAAGGAGTATAAGTTAAACTATCAACGTGATGGTAACAAATTATTAAGTTTAAATTTCAATTTGAAAGTCAGTACCTTTTGTTTTTCTTAATTTTACTTATGCGGCAAATGATAAATCATAATGACAACATCATGTTTATAATAAATCATAATGACAACATCATGTTTATAATTTTTATAAAATCATATAAATGAAAGGAGTAGAAATTAAACCATGAGCGTGATGGTAACAAATTTATTAAGTTTAAATTCCAATTTGAAATTAGTTTGTTTTTCTTAATTTCACTCTTGTGGCAAATGATAAAGGAGAATGACAACATCATGTTAATATTGAATAAACAAGTTAGAGATGTGAAATGTTTAAAATAAACTTACATAATGTCATTTACTTTGAAAAATAATTTTTTGGTCAAACTGAGAGGTAACATGTTCATTATGACTAGTTTACCAATTTCTGGTTGAATTTTAGTTAATTGGTATATTAATGTAGTTCTTCTTGGAAACTATTCAATATTCTGTAATCTGTTCAAATAAAGAAGATGCGTAAGGGGACAAAAATGAAATGAAAACATGCTTATCAATATGAAACATTCGAAAAGGAACGAGCAATGGTCTCTTTATTGAATAAGGGGACAAAGCCAATAACAATAATTTTCTCTCTTCAATAATTTCTTCATGTTAAATCATTTAGTACTATGTGTAGGAGCTTCATTTTTTTGTTGTGTTTAAGATTGGTTATACAAAGAAAGGTGAAAAGTATATTCCAACGAAAAATATGTTTTTAGAATTATTTTTAAGAGCTCACTTTCGAAATCCATTTTCTAGACAATCACTTATCCCTTCCAAAATCCCCTTTCCACATAAGGGTTTTTCTCTTCTGAAAAATATTTCTAGACTACTTAATAGTTCAAGTATCAAATCTCCATAGAGATAAACTACTAATTCTAAAATTTAAAAACGAAATTTAATAATAATCAGAAGGGAAAAGATATAACACAACCCTCCAATCAAAAATCAATATCAATATCATCAATTATTTTTTTTATTAAAGTGGAAAACAAATGACCGAACAGAGCAAGAGTAACCAATTGCAGTGTCGCGAGTTACTTTGTGTGAGTTAGAGAGAGAGGATGGAGATGAGAGAGAAACAAATTTGATAAGTGAGCAAGATGGATAGGGTTAGATGAATGTTTCTGATTTTTTTCAGTTGGAACTACTGTAGGGATGAGCGATAGAATGTTAGAGTGAGAGAGATGAGAGAGAAAGAGCTGAGAAGAATGAGGGATGAGAGCGGTGAGTAAGGATTCGAGGTTTCTTGTTTTTCTTTTTAAATTTTGAGAATGAAAATTATTCAAATAACCTTAACCTTAAAACTGAGAATCTATACTATATGAGATATACATATATCAACTAAAAAACTGAGCGTATATATATAAACCCATATATATATATATATATAATAAATTATTGAATGCGTTAGAATAATTATATTTTATTAATTAATTTTATAAAAGGATTTAATTAATTAATTATGATTAAAGACCTATATGTTATAACAATTAATATTTTATTTTACTAAGAAACCAAATTAAAATATTAAAACTTAAAAAAGTAACTGACATAAATTATATAAATAAATAATGATTTATATATGTGTAAACACATTTATCGTTTATCATTTCTGTTTTTTTATGTCATAAAAAAAAACGTGCTCAACAGAAATAACATCAATATCTAATTTTTTAAGCTTTCGTTTTTTAAACTTTCCTTCTGTTCTAAAGAAAATTAAAAACTGCTCCATTTGATTGTTGTTTCTAATAAATTGTTACAAGTTTGGGAAATTCTTTACTTTAATACTTTTGATATGTGGTTTTATTTCCTGTATCATTATATTTAAATATATGTTTAAAAAATAAAAAAAACAACGAAACAGATACTTGATTATTAAACACATTAAATAGAAATATTAATTGTATATTAATTATTAAAGTTATTTCTGAGATGATTGACAAAGTCTAATATGAGTTAGAAAGAATATCCACATGTTGAGAATTGGAATCACTCGTTAAATATGGCTTCTGCTATTGCTGTTGTCCTCATTTTTTCTCTCAGCCACTCTTTTAACTCTCTTATTACTCTCTCTATTCTGCAATTGAAATGGTTTCAGAAGCAGAGACAGAGCATCCCATCAAAGCATTTGGATGGGCAGCAAGGGACACTTCTGGCATTCTCTCCCCTTTCAATTTCTCCAGAAGGTATTATCTTCTCAAATTACTTTTGTTCATTCATTTTTCTTTTATTTTCAACCACAATTCATCAATTGACTATTGTTATTTTTTTTCCTTTTAGTTTTTGTACTGTTCTAATTCTCATTACATTTTATTCATCTTCAATTTGTTTTTTTCCAAAATATTCAATAAGGACTAAAATGCAAATGGTTTACATATATATAGTAGTTTTTTTTTCAGAAATTAAAATAAAATAATTACAGAGATAGGATTTAAATATAATGATGAAGGAAATAAGAACACAAATCAAAAGTATTAAAGTAAAGGATTTCCCAAACTTCTAACAATTTATTAGAAACAACAAGAAAAAAAATCCTAATAATAAGAGACACCATTAATTTTAATTTAGAATTTCTTTTCAATGTGAAAAGTAAAAACACAATGACATAAATCAATTAAGCTTTACTAATATTATATATAAATATAAAGAATCATATAAAGAAGTGTTATAAAGTTTTCAAATTTAAAAAACAAAAAAATCGTAAAATAGAGTAATGTTGTAAAACTTATAATTTATCTAACCACATATTTCTAAATTTCTATTCCACGGTCCTACCGTGACAAAAGAAGAACAATATACCATAAACCCGGTGTCCAATTTTTAGTCTAATCGGTATAAACGAAATTGGAATCATGATTTTATTAGATTGCACCTTGAAAATGTGCAAGGAATTTTTCTACTCTCTTCTTGAATATAACAAATATAACATGGTATTAGGGATATGATTTTTTTTAAGATTGGACTTTTTGGAAGTCTAACCCAATATATAATATAAGTTAAATTTGATAATAGAAAAAATATTTAATAATTTTTTATTTCTTGAGTGCGAAAATAAATAAGCATCTTGAGCGATAATTTAATTTTAAAATTGAGTTTTTTGAAGAAATGTTGAGATGTATAATTTTTGCAGGGCAACAGGAGAGAAAGATGTTGCAATTAAAGTAATGTACTGTGGAATATGTCACTCAGACTTACATATGTTAAAGAATGAGTGGAACTGTTCAATCTATCCTATTGTTCCTGGGTACGTATATGTCCTTTTCTTTTCCTTTTGCTGACTTTTATTTTTCCTAGATATTTGTAGGGATTCATTTTAGTTAATTTTTGAAATTGATGTGGATTGGGTGAGAGTGATTTGTCATTATTTGTAAGATTTTTTTTAAAGAGTGTATTAAGTCTGAATCCAGACGAAAATATTTAATTTTTAGGAATTGTTTTTTAAAATATTAATTTATTATTACTGATATTTAACCTTTTTTTAAATAACTCTATTTATCTGACATTTTTTTACTTTTTTGATAATTATTATTGGAAATCTATGAATAACCTTTTTAAATGATTAATGTTTTTAAGAAATAAATTATTTTAATTTTTTTAGCCAAAAATTTATGGTTTAATACACCCAACAATAACTTAGACATTAAATTAATAGGATAACTTATCAATCATCTATAATTCAACTAAATCAATTACATATATTAATAAAATTAAGCCTTTTACTTTAATCTATCTTTTTTCACTCAACCAAACAAGTTGTTTGAATTAAGATAAAACGAATAAATTTAAATTGAAAAGTTTATAATAAGTATAATTAATGTAACTTAAAAACAATCTTACTTTCTTTTTAAAAAAATTATATTCATTATATATTTTATTATAATAAATAAAAATGTAAATATTAATAAAAAAGTTAAAAGTATAATCAATTATATTGAGCATATAATTAATTTTATACAGACTTCCACTCAAAATCTTCAATTTTAAAAGTTACACGTAAGACAAATCTTTCTCAAAAATGTTTGAACATTCTTTCTGTTTTTCATTTTTTTTTTCTTTCTTCTTGTATAATAAGTTTGTTGTGTCTTTAGTATGTGAAGGACTGATTTAAAAGTTTACTCTGATTGAAAATAGTAAGACAATTTCCAACGCCTTGCAATCCTTTCCTTCTTCACCTGAAATTGAGTCTTACAACAGTACAAAATTTTATTTATTTTTTGAAGTATTATAAGCTGTTCTAAATGTAAGTGAAGGTCAATTCATCATGTGAAATTTGATTGGAATTTGTGTAGACACGAGATTGCTGGTGTGGTGACAGAGGTGGGAAGCAAGGTGCAAAAGTTCAAAGTTGGAGACAGAGTTGGTGTGGGGTGCATGGTTGGATCCTGTAGCTCCTGTCAGAACTGTAGTGAAGATCATGAGAATTACTGCCCCAAAATGATTCTCACATACAGTGCCAAGTATGTTGATGGCACCATAACATACGGAGGCTACTCCGATTCAATGGTTTCAGATGAACACTTTGTGGTTCGTATTCCAGATAACATACCTCTTGATGTTGCTGCTCCTCTTCTTTGTGCTGGAATCACAGTGTATAGCCCTCTCAAATATTATGAACTTGATAAGCCTGGACTTCATATTGGTGTGGTTGGTCTTGGTGGACTTGGTCACATGGCCGTCAAGTTTGCCAAAGCTCTTGGACTTAAGGTCACAGTAATTAGTACCTCTCCCAACAAAAAGAAGGAAGCCATCGAACACATGGGAGCTGATGCATTTGTTGTTAGCCGTGAACAAGATGAGATGATGGTAATTATTATTACTCACAAAATTTAGTAACGAAAATTAGTTTTTTTTTTTTACTTCGAAATGCTAGCTAGGGTTACGAAAGTTTTGGTGACATTTTTAAGAAATTACATGCAAATTGTTTTTGTCACTAGTTACATGTTGTGTGTGCCTTAAAGTTGCTTATTTGTTGTAAGTGAAAGCATTCACCAACTTCTAATGTTCCTCACTAAATATCTGTGTAGGCTGTAATGGGAACCTTTGATGGAATCATTGACACAGTTTCTGCAAACCATTCTCTCGTGCCTTTGATTGGCCTGTTGAAGACTCATGGTAAATTAATCATGGTTGGTGCTCCAGAGAAACCTCTTGAGGTTCCAGCATTTTCCTTACTTACGGGTAAGCTTGCATTAAAATTAATGCTACCAATTACTCACTTGCGGGTTTTGAATCGTGATCATGTTTGTTATTCTTAGTATTGAGAGAAAAATGCAGAAAAATATCACTGGCCACAATGAATATAGAACTCTTCATATTTAAGTTTAAAGTAAATAATAAACAAATTATTCTACCTTCGATCTAGTGTGATTTGATGGTTAAATTGAATTTTGAAAGTCGGTATAACTGTACACAATTGGCAGGGAGGAAGCTGGTTGGTGGCAGTGCAATTGGAGGGATGAAAGAGACGCAAGAAATGATAGATTTTGCTGCGAAGCATGATGTGAAACCTGATATCGAAGTTATTGAAATGGATTATGTGAACACTGCGATGGAACGCCTCCTTAAAGCAGATGTGAAGTATCGATTTGTTATTGATATTGGAAAAACGTTGAAGCCAAGTTCCTGAATAAAGAATATGCATGAGTGTTTTAGATTTCAGAGACTAAACGTAGGGTATGAGACAAAGACTGAGTTGGATCTTTTATGTTTTTGTTCTTAGTGTCATGTGTGTTTGTAGTATTGAGTTTTAGTTTGAGAATTTATCTATATGTGTGTTTGCAATTGCATTACATTTTAAAGGGAAAATTTTTTGCGTGAACGTGGAGTTGTTTTTTTTAATTTGCAAGAAAACACTTTTAGACATGGATCGTGAAAGGTTAACAACAAAATTTTGACAAATTTTTTACAATGTTACGTGTCGAGGTGGTATTGGTGTCTAGGTGGTCTGCTCTTTCAATTCCTCGACCATTGTCACTCATCGTCTTGGTGATTTTGTTTGATCTTTCGAAAGCGCTTTTGTTGTTTTGCGAAAACTCCTCTTTCCTCCATCGTTGTCGCCATGTTAGTGGCTAAGTTTTGTGTTTGTTCCACTCTATTTAGCGTTTTATTATTGGTCTTTGGTGTATCACTAGTAAAAAAATATGGATATTAACTTGCGTTTGACATTTTTGTAATTATCGCCAACATATATATCTCGGTTCAAAAGGAACTGAAGCCTAAATGGGTCTATGACTTCGGTTCTATAAATAACCGAGATCAAATCCCACTGCAAATTTTACTTTTCCATTGACCTCATTTTTGAAGTAGGTTTATGATCTCAGTTGTCTAGAAAACAAGATCATAGAGTCCTTCTGCTTCGGTTATGTTGCGAATCGAGACATAAAATAACTAAAGATATTATTTTTTTTTATTTTTTTGAGAGACTTTAGGCAGCGGTTCTTAATATATCTGAGGTCATAGAGCTCTTATTGCTTCTGTTAATAAAATAATCGAGGTAATAATATGCGTTTCTAGGATTAAATTTCTCAAAGTAATAGAGCATGTTCCATATTTCTTCTTCGTTTTCTTTACTCTGTTGCGCCACCCTTCTCTTCGTTGTCGCTCTCCTCTCTACATCTTTCATTTTTGCAACCATCCTCAACGCTTCTTCTATTTCTTTCATTTTACGTTGATTAAGTACTTAAGTATGATTTTCTCTCGTTTTGACCGATTGGTTTTATGCATAGGTACTATTTGGATAGGCGCTTTGTGTGACGTTTGTTTCGTTTCGTTTCACCACCAAACTCACCTTCAAGGTTAGTTTCGTTTTAGGTTTTTCATATTTTTGTTTGTTGGTTTGTTCTTCATACACCATACAACCTAGAAAACCTTAGGGAGCAAAATCGTAACTTTTTTTACATCGGTTTTTGACCTGAGGCCAAAAGTCTCACCTTTTTATCTCTCCTTAATATACCTCAATTTTATAATTGGTGTCACACTAGTGCGCGAGGGGATTTTACCGCGGTTATTTTTCACTATACGTCGCGGTTTACGAACCGCGACATATTTAGCCGCGGTAGTAAGTCAGAGACTTTAGGCCGCGGTTATGACCGCGGTATATAGGTTGCGGAATATGCCGCGGTTGTCCAAGGAACCGCTGCCTAAATCCATTTTTTTAAAAAAAAAAAATTTTGTCCACTATAATGCCGCGGTTCAACCGCGGCAAAAGACTGTAGTATATGCCGCGGTTTTAGCACTAACCGCGGCCATATGTCTCATTTTACAAAAAAAAGAAACACTATATGTCGCGGTTGTGGTTACAACCGCGGCATATTCCCTGCAGTTTTTTAAAATTGCAGGTCTGTTTTTGTGATATCCACTACCACAAAAACAGACCTGCATAAAAACATGTACACAAATTCAATTTGAACATAACAACACATGTTCAAATGTATTTCAACATCAAATAAAGTACAAAGTCTAAGAAAATTCAATCTAATCAAATGCAATGTTTAAATCTAAGAGCTATTGTATAATCTAATTATATTCTCGCAGCAGCGTTCCTAATGAATAATAGTGACTTCTCAGGAACTGGTGTAGTAGTCTTGAATCTCTGCAAAGACAATTCATATTAATTAGTGTATATGAATTCAACATTTGGGAAAAATCAAAATTTGTTAAAGTTAAATATTACGTTCCCAGCGACTTGTGAATGTTACATAGTATCCGCACTCAATTACCCATTTTGTCTGTTAAACTACAATATATCATCACAGTTGATAATAGTTAGTGAATAACATTAAAATAAAACAATTATAACAAAGTATGGCTTTAGCATATGTCAAACCTTGAGAGAAAATGCAAGCAATCTTTCTACTATTAACAATTGATCTCCCACCCATCATATACTTGCTGGAATTAATAACTGTATATAAAAAAAGGTTTTAGCATTCATTTATATAACAAAGAAAGTCCAAACATTGAGGTTCTTACCAATCAATCAATTGCTGTCTGAGTTGTGGGAGGAGGCCTGTGCAATGAACAGAACCACAAAGCATAGTTGTATTGCATAGACTAACAAGAAGTTGCCAATGGCGCCTGAAATTCATAATAACGTAACTATTAAATATTAAATCACATATGGAACATTATTATGTTAACAAAGTTCACTTACCCGGATATATAAGGCAAAAAGTATATTTTCTTGCCCCTTCCAAAACTTCTTATCAGATTCATGTTGATCTGATCAAAATCATCAATTCATGAATTGATTGGGAATCAATGAATCCATAATCATCAGAACGCCCCAACTTGTTACTGACCCACGAACATATTACCTGAAATCAAAAATTAACTTTGATATAAGGATACTTGAATATATAATCAATTTTATATATAAATAATTGGTCATAGACTTACATCGTCCAAAGTTGAATAATTGAAATATTCAACTCTTGTGTTCCCGACGCAAGCTCACGGACATCTTGGCTATTAAGTATATTGGGACCTCAGAGCCTGTCCCAAATACATTAGCATCACACTACTCAACCTCCAAAGGCTTATCATCAAGGATGTCAGCAAGTAGATGCAATGAAAAAAGAGGTCATCCTCAGATAGAGGAATCTTCTCTTGTGCCTGCTTCTGTTGTTACACGAAAAGATAAGATAAGTTTTGACATCAAAAACCTTTAAATTGAGAAGTGTAAAGAAGAATTTCATACCGAGGGGTCAGAAACTGGTTTAACAAAAAATTTAGGCCAAGTAATAAACGACTTATATGCTTGTTCCACAGTGAAAATCTCTTCCGTGGACAGAGGAACCGAGGCATCTGGTATGATAATTTCATCCACTGAGACCTTCACCTCATCCTCTAATAGTTGACTACCATGACATACAGTCGTGACCTAAACTCTGTTCCACGAGCTACCAGCACCATCTCAGTATCCTCTAAAATGTATAGCAGACATGGACTACCATCGTCCATGTCATCCTCTGGGATGGCTGATGCGGAACAACTTCCTTTCGCGCTTCTCCTGTCAGAGTAAATGTTAGATTATACAAAGATAGAAATAATTGCACATAAATGTTTATTAAGTTTACCTGTGGGAGGGGGAGGGATAACATGTTCCTCTATAGGAGACGGCACGGGCGCATGCTCTGAAATGCTGCTGGTATAGCATCTGGAATTCAGCCCTCACCTCGATGACTTCTTCGATGTTTTCCCAATACATGATGTATTTTATTAACTTTTTCAGAACTTGAAGGCCAGTAAGTGGATTTGGTGCTTCGTCCCTCTCTTGATCTCCATTGAATGTTTTTTTTAACCTTCGATATGGATGATTACGTTTTAAAATCTCCGATGACGCAGATCACACCGTCCTTTCTCTTTCTCATGTTTCAATTCAAGATGAGCTGCAGTGTTTTCTTCTTCACATATAGGCACACTTAATGAACCTGACACTGTATCCTGACAAATTACCATAAAGCAGGGAAGTCATTATGGCTGCAAAATAACATTGCACGCCTCATAAAGGCTCTGAACGAATGCATCAAATATTAATTCAATCAACCAACATCAACCCACAAAACCTTCAAGTCTTCAACTAGTGGGCTAGATAAACATCTAGGTCATTCCAGGCTGCTTTGGACCAGATATCATCATAGACAACATCATGTACTTTCCTCTTCCTTTCATGCCAATGCAGGAGATAAGTTGTAAATTATCAATATAACTGGCCAACAACTGTGTTGGTACTCGATTACCAAATGGGTTTCATTCCATCAGTGGCTAAACCAGCCTAAGATTTATACACTCTTTACCAAATTCGGGGAATTGTCGATCATATTTTTCCATTGCTTTGAATCAGCTGGATGACGAAGCAAGCCCGTCATTTTTCTCTCATCCTGCCTGCATCTAAGGTTTTTTAGCATCTGTGATTCGCAAACAAACGCTATCCTGGGCACTATTGGAAGGTACCAAACTACTTTCAAAGCAGATCCATTTTTTTCTATCTGACCATATCTTCACTATTGTTTTTTGACTTGTATCGTGATAAGCCACATTTTGGACACTTTGTCAAAATTCCAAACTCTTCCTACAAAATGCAGTCTTGGGACAAGCATGTATCCTTTTATACTCCACTACCCTTGCAGAATTTTCTTCGCATCATAATTACGAGTGGGCAGTGTATTTCCATTGGCAACATTTCATTCAACAACGTCAACAGTTTTTGTAAAAACTCTTATCAGTCCATCCATTGCTCGCCTTCAATTCATGAGCCTTAACACCGCTAACAAAAACGTGTGAACTTAGTTGAACCGACTACAAAGGTGTTTCCCGCATCAGTCGACATCGTCTCATCACATGAGCTTGGCAAAATTTCTGCTCAACATCGCGGATCATGTTCCTCCAATTGGTCTTCATCCGGTCGATCTTCTTCATGGTGGAATCAGTAACATTTACAGTTTGAGAGTCAGTGGGAAAATGCATTTCTTCGCCGTGCATATCCAGTTGTATAGGCATCTTAGAAAAACCATCACATAAGATGTTCTCTAATTTGAGTTGCGTTCAAACTTTCTCCATTCAAACAGTTTCACACAAGGACATCTAAACTGTCACTTCATCATCACTCTCCCCTCATTACGTTGACGCCAAATTGTATAAATTCCTCTACACCTCT